TGGTTCTGTGCTCTCTGCAGCTCTAGTTGTTGCAGAGGTTGAAGGTGATACAGTAGAAATTTCAGGTGGAATATTTTTGTTTGCACTCAATGGTTTGGGAGACGGTTGTGATGAATCGATATCGGATGTAGTTGTTGCAGTAGAGTTAAGGTTACTTACTGGAGGTACAGTAGTGGCAGATGCTGGACTTGTGGTTACCAAACCAGTTGCAGGGGTTGAAGGTGATTCAGTAGAAATTACAGATAGAATATTTTTGTTTGCACTCAATGGTTTGGGAGACGGTTGTGATGAATCGATATCGGATGTAGTTGTTGCAGTAGAGTTAAGGTTACTTACTGGAGATACAGTAGTGGCAGATGCTGGACTTGTGGTTACCGAACCAATAGTTGTTGTTGCATTTCTTACTGGTTCTGTGCTCTCTGCAGCTCTAGTTGTTGCAAGGTGGTGATACAGTAGAAACTTCAGGTGGAATATTTTTATTTGCACTCAATGGTTTGGGAGACGGTTGTGATGAATCGATATCGAATGTAGTTGTTGCAGTAGAGTTAAGGTTACTTACTGGAGATACAGTAGTGGCAGATGCTGGACTTGTGGTTACCGAACCAATAGTTGTTGTTGCATTTCTTACTGGTTCTGTGCTCTCTGCAGCTCTAGTTGTTGCAGAGGTTGAAGGTGATACAGTAGAAATTACAGGTGGAATATTTTTGTTTACACTCAATAGTTCGGGAGACAGTTGTGATGAATCGATATCGGATGTAGTTGTTGCAGTAGAGTTAAGGTTACTTACTGGAGGTACAGTAGTGGCAGATGCTGGACTTGTGGTTACCAAACCAGTTGCAGAGGTTGAAGGTGATTCAGTAGAAATTACAGATAGAATATTTTTGTTTGCACTCAATGGTTTGGGAGACGGTTGTGATGAATCGATATCGGATGTAGTTGTTGCAGTAGAGTTAAGGTTACTTACTGGAGATACAGTAGTGGCAGATGCTGGACTTGTGGTTACCGAACCAATAGTTGTTGTTGCATTTCTTACTGGTTCTGTGCTCTCTGCAGCTCTAGTTGTTGCAGAGGTTGAAGGTGATACAGTAGAAATTTCAGGTAGAATATTTTTATTTGCACTCAATGGTTTGGGAGACGGTTGTGATGAATCGATATCGAATGTAGTTGTTGCAGTAGAGTTAAGGTTACTTACTGGAGATACAGTAGTGGCAGATGCTGGACTTGTGGTTACCGAACCAATAGTTGTTGTTGCATTTCTTACTGGTTCTGTGCTCTCTGCAGCTCTAGTTGTTGCAGAGGTTGAAGGTGATACAGTAGAAATTACAGGTGGAATATTTTTGTTTACACTCAATAGTTCGGGAGACAGTTGTGATGAATCGATATCGGATGTAGTTGTTGCAGTAGAGTTAAGGTTACTTACTGGAGGTACAGTAGTGGCAGATGCTGGACTTGTGGTTACCAAACCAGTTGCAGAGGTTGAAGGTGATTCAGTAGAAATTACAGATAGAATATTTTTGTTTGCACTCAATGGTTTGGGAGACGGTTGTGATGAATCGATATCGGATGTAGTTGTTGCAGTAGAGTTAAGGTTACTTACTGGAGATACAGTAGTGGCAGATGCTGGACTTGTGGTTACCGAACCAATAGTTGTTGTTGCATTTCTTACTGGTTCTGTGCTCTCTGCAGCTCTAGTTGTTGCAGAGGTTGAAGGTGATACAGTAGAAACTTCAGGTGGAATATTTTTGTTTGCACTCAATGGTTTGGGAGACGGTTGTGGTGAATCGATATCGGATGTAGTTGTTGCAGTAGAGTTAAGGTTACTTACTGGAGATACAGTAGTGGCAGATGCTGGACTTGTGGTTACCGAACCAATAGTTGTTGTTGCATTTCTTACTGGTTCTGTGCTCTCTGCACCTTTAGTTGTTGCAGAGGTTGAAGGTGATACAGTAGAAATTTCAGGTGGAATATTTTTGTTTGCACTCAATGGTTTGGGAGACGGTTGTGGTGAATCGATATCGGATGTAGTTGTTGCAGTAGAGTTAAGGTTACTTACTGGAGATACAGTAGTGGCAGATGCTGGACTTGTGGTTACCGAACCAATAGTTGTTGTTGCATTTCTTACTGGTTCTGTGCTCTCTGCAGCTCTAGTTGTTGCAGTGGTTGAAGGTGATACAGTAGAAACTACAGGTGGAATATTTTTATTTGCACTCAATGGTTTGGGAGACGGTTGTGGTGAATCGATATCGG